CCCATGGTCCTCACTGTAGCTGCCATCCATCCCAGCCTGGAGATCCCAAGTAAGTGTCCACAGGTACCTTTTTGCCACTTTTCTCTGCTGCTTGAATTTGTGGAGGGCTGTTTTAATATAAATCCTTTCTTAAATTATTATTAGTTTTTTTTTTATTTATTTTGGTTTTATATGTATGCCATGCGTGTGCAGGTACTCACAGGGGACAGAAAATGGCATCACATCTCCTAGAGCTGGAGTCGCAGGGCATTGTGAGCACCTGGGTGCTGGGAGCCAAACAGAGGTCTTTTGGAAGAGTAGCCAGTGCTCTGAACCACAGAGCCACTTCTGCAGCCCATGGATTCTCTTTGGTGTGTGTGTTCACATGCACACTCATGGAGGCCGTAGGTCCATGTTAGGTATTTTTCTCAGTGCTGTCCATCTTTTTGTTTGTTTTTGAGACAAGACTCTCAGTGGCCTTGGAGCAGCTCACCTGTTGTCTAGACTGGCTAGGCAGCAAGCCTCAGGGACCCCCTTGTCTTATCATCTCCAGCCTGGGGGTTACAAGTGCACATACCATTACACCCAGATTTTTTTTTTTTTTTTAAGATTTATTTATTTATTATGTATAGTGTTTTGCCTGCATGTCTGCCTGCTGACCAGAAGAGGGCACCGGATCTCCTCATTATGGTTGTGAGCCACCATGTGGTTGCTGGGAATTGAACTCAGGCCCTCTGGAAGAGCAGTCAGAGATGGTTGAAACACAGAGTTAGTGACATTCTGAAGATTAAAGATAGAAGAAAAACTGCTTCAGAATGTCACTAACTCTGATTTCTTGGGGTATTCTGGGTGTAGGGACATGTCATCTGCAAGCAGTGCTTCATCCTTGACTTCTTTTTAGTATATGTGCTGCCGAAGTGAGCACTCATCCCTCTTTTTAGGCAACATTATTGGGGATCATGTTACCTGGGAATTTTATAGTCCATCAATTGAGGGAGTTCCTTTCCCATCTAAGTATTTGAAATATTTCATAAAACATTAGTTTTGTTTTTGTTTTTTGAGACAGGGATTCTCTGTGTATCTCTGGCTGTCCTGGAACTCTCTGTAGGCCAGGCTGACCTCAAACTCAGAGATCTACCTGCCTCTGCCTCTTGAGTGCTGGAATTAAAGGCGTGTCACCATGACCAGTGACAATAACTACTTAATACCTTTTAAGTCTTTGTTCTACCTTTGAGCATAGGCACTGAGGTATGTGTTTCATTCTGACCAGTGCTGATTCCTAAAGAAAAGCCCCCAATCACGGTTGTTGGTGATGTCGGAGGAAGGATCGCCATCATTGTGGTATGTAGTTCTCCTTTATTGTACCCGCCATCTCTCTGTTGACTTACTTGTAATTGTGTGCATAAAGACCATGGCGGGTGGTGTTACCAGGTAAGTATCATGTTGGTTGGTGCTTTGTGCCATGTTAATTTTTGTCCCCAGACAGAAAAAACGGTAACTTTTTAAAAGATTATTATGTATACAGCTGTCTGCATATTATATTCCTGCACGCCAGAAGAGGGCACCAGATTTTGTCTCTAGATCTCATTATAGATGGTTGTGAGCCACCATGTGGTTGCTGGGAATTGAACTCAGGACCTCTGGTAGAGTAGCCAGTGCTCTTAACCTCTGAGCCATCTCTCCAGCTCAAAAAAGTGATAACATTTTAAGGGAAAAAAAAAAAAAAAACAGGAGCCTGGCAGTGGTGGGGCACATAATTAATCCCAGCACTTGGGAGGCAGAAGCAGGAGGATCTCTGTGAGTTCAAGACCAACCCTGGTCTACAGAGCAAGTTCCAGGACAGATAGAGCTACACAGAAAAACACTGTCTTGGAAAAATAGAAAAAAAAAAGTATTATCTATATAGTTACCTGAATATGGTACAGCTGTTTATTTCCGTATTTTGGAAAGTTTTTTTTTTCTTTTTTTTATTAAAGTAAGGGACCAAGTTGATTAAAGTTTTAAACCCAGATTGGCAATAAGGGTTATAAGGCCTTTGGTTTGGTCCCTAACACCACAAAACCCAAAACTCACACACACATTTCATACATGCATATTAAAGGTACACTAAAGAATGGGTCAGACACCTGCAGCTCACTGCTCCCCTGAGCACAGGCTAGAGTCATTTTGGAAGAGAGAACCTCAATTGAGAAAATGCCCCCACTGCACTGGCCTGTGTGTAAGCCTCTGGTGCATTTCCTTAATTGGTGATTGATGAGGGAGGGCCCAACCCATTGTGGGTGGTGCCATCCCAGGGCTGGTAGTTCTGGGTTCTATAAGAAAGCAGGCTGAGCAAGCCAGTAAGCAGTACCCCTCCATGGCCTCTGCATCAACTCATGCCTCCAGGTTTCTGCCCTGACTCCCTCAGTAATGAACCATGTTGTAGAACTGCAAACTGGAATAAACCCTTTCCTCCCCAACTTGCTTTTGATCATGTATTTCATCATGGCAATAGAAACCCTCACTAAGACACTCACTCTATCTTGCTAAACTATGTGCAGTTATACATGCATGCATATCCACACAGTATACTCACAAATACAGGAATAAATAGATGAAAAAATGTAATACAAGGAGGCTGGAGAGATGGCTCAGAGGTTGGGAGCACTGTCTACTCTTCCAGAGGTCCTGATTTCAATATCCGGCAACCATATGGTGGTTCACAACCACCTTGAATGAGATCTGGTGCCCTCTGCTGGCATGCAGGGCACATGCAGACAGAAGACTGTATACTTAATAAATAAGATCTTAAAAAAAAAATTAATACAAAAGAACTGTCAAGCTGACTGACATCCATTATACTTTAAGAAATGTATTTTTCTAAAGACAGGATCTCTCTACGAAGTCCCGGCTGTCCTGAAACTCACTCTGTAGACCAGGGTGACTTTGAACATAGAGTTTTGATCCATCTGTCTCTGCCTCTGAGTGCTGGGATTAAAGGTGTGCATCAGCATACCCAACTTTGATTATACTGTTTTTACTCTCCAACCTCCACATATACGATATGGTATTCATGGCCCCGTACACATAGACAAATAAGTAAATATAACTGAGAAGTTTTTCAAGCAAATTTCTTAGCTGGGTACAGTGGTGTGAACCTGTATGTACTTCCAGCTACTCAAGAGACTAAGGTGGGAGGGTCACTTGAGCCTGGCATTCAGGACACTGGACAACATAATAAAATCCCATCTCCAGACACACCCACCACATCATGTTTTCCCATACAGGAAGTGAGAAAGTATAAGAACATGCTTGGGAAGCCTTAGTTCCATTACTCACGAGTTGAAAGCATCCTAAAAAAAGCTTTCCTATGTATTTCAAAGTCATCCCACAGACCTTCCCACCTCCCAGGGCCTTGAGCCTACCAGGAGCTACCCTGCAAGTGGCAGGTGCTGTGTGAGAGGTGACTTGTGTGCAAAGCCTGGGAGGGCTGTGGAGGTGAGGGACAGAAACAATTCCACTATGTTGTCGAGAATGAACCACAGATGCCATAGTGTGCCCTGGTCATTCCTTTCTTCTTCCTGGTTGTCCAGCCTGTCTTTGCAAGTGTTGATATGCCTTTTGCCTGTCTTTGATTTGACAGGATGACATCATTGATGATGTGGACAGCTTTCTTGCTGCAGCAGAGACCCTGAAGGAAAGAGGCGCATATAAGATCTTTGTGATGGCAACTCATGGCTTGTTATCCTCTGATGCTCCCCGGCTGATTGAAGAGTCTGCCATTGACGAGGTAGTAGGGCTGGCAGTCAGGATGGCTGCCTAGGTACTGGCTGCCTGAGTCTTTCACAACAGAGCAGAACAAGTAGACGCTCATTTTAGTTACAAATAGAAGACACAAGCCAATAGGGTAGCCCATGACTTTAAGTTCAGCATCAGTCTGGGCTACAAAGAACCATGTCTCAAAAAAAATTAAGGGGGAGGAGGGTCACTGAAAAATTGATTGATTTGTGTTTCATTGACTAGAGCTTTCCCATTTGAAAGAGGTCTGATCTGATTCAGTTATGACTTGCATACTGTATCATTCACCCACCTCAGGTGTGTGGTACAGTGACGTTTAGAATGTTCCAGTTGTGTGCTGGGCGCCCAGCTGATTTGAGAAGAAACATCCCTGTGAGCCGTTGTACACAAGCCCTTAGTCCCCATGGCTTTATTTCTCTGTGGATTTGCCCATGTGCCCCTTTCACGCTGGTTCTAGTATTTTCAAGGTCTAGTAAGTCTGTATGCCTGAAGAATACTCTGTAAGGGGATGTGCTCCATGTTGTCTCTTGCTAAGTTGTTGGAAACTTGAGTTGTTTACATATTTTTAAATTAATTTTTATCTAGTATTTTGTGTGTGTGATGTGTGTATATGAATGTAGGTTCTCATTTAAAGGTCAGGAGACAACTTTCAGGAGTAAGGTTTCTCCATGTTTTCCCCAACATGTGTCAGTGTCTTGGGCTGTAACTGCTCTGATGGTAAGAGGTCATCAGATCTTAAAGCCTGAGCAGCTTTGCTCTGGTGGAAGCAGGAGCTGTGGAAAGGACAGGGTCCCCACAGGGTAAAGCTCAGATGAAACCTTGACACTGGCTGCGTTTGGCTTTGTTCTCTTGTACTTGTTTTATTTGCAGCATTGAGCCTGAACCCAGGCTTTCACACACTAAGCATGCACTCCACTGTGAGTCATACTCCAGCCCTGAAGCTGCTTGGCGTCTGATGCTCTTGTTTCTTGTGACTCACAGGTGGTGGTCACTAACACCATCCCACATGAAATCCAGAAGCTCCAGTGCCCCAAGATCAAAACCGTGGACATCAGCATGATCCTCTCAGAAGCCATCCGCCGCATTCACAATGGAGAGTCCATGTCCTACCTTTTCAGAAACATAGGCTTAGATGACTGAATTGTTCTCCTGTGGCAGAACTCCCACAGGTCTAGTGGGAAGCCCAGCATGCATGCTGGGAGGGTCCATGCCTGGCAGGCACTCCTTCCCTCTCCACACCTTCCTGAGTGATTCCTGTGAAGGTACAAGGACCAACTTTTTAATGTCGGTTTAGGTTTTTGTGAGTTTGGGGGGTAATTTTTATAACAGAAAGACCTCTTAAATAAAGTAAGTTAAAACCTGATCATTTTTAGTATAACCATTTTAAGGAATACACTTGAATGAGGTTTTTAAGCTCATCCTTTTTTTAAAGTTGCTTGATCCCAGTGTTCAAAAAAGTTAAATAAAATGACCTGCTGTCTGCTGTCTACAGTCAAAAGCTGCTGTTGGTTCCAATACGTGACATTTTTAGAAATGGTTTTATAAATGGGCATATAGAGTATGTGGCTATTTATTCTCTGCAACAAAGAAAAATAAAACCTCATGTTTGTTTTTTAAGCCTCTGTATGTGGACAGTTTTCTGTATCTGGAATAGACAGCTACTGAGGACCCGAGTACCTTGCTGCTCTTGTCTCCAGCTTCCAAGCTATGCATAGCACTGTATCTGCTGCCGCAGACCTCACTCTGGCTGGTCCTCAGGAGCCTGCGAGTTCTTGATGAAGAAGTGGGGCTGGCTCACAGCTTCATCAGTGTGGCTCTGCTTTCTTCTTCAGAGTCCAGCCAGTCCTCAGACCCGGGTGCAGTAACTCATGGGGCTCTGTGGGCGGGGCTTGTCACTGTCAAGAACTGAGGATCATTTGGCTGTCTTAAGAGTGTCAAGTTGAAATTTTTTTTTAAGATTTATTTTATTTTTTGTGTATGAGTGTTTTACTGCGTGTATGTCTGCACCACATACATGCCTGGTGCCTGTAGAGATCTGAAGAGAGTATTGGATCTCCTGAAATTGGAGTTAACAGGTGTTTATGAGCAGCTGCCATGTGAGTGAGTGCTGGAAACTGAACCCAGGTCCTCTGTAAGAGCAGTGGGCGCTCTTAACCACTGAGCCATCTCTCCAGCCCCTGAAGTTTATAGTTCTGTCCATCTTTATTATAGTGTGGAATAGGCCTAAGCCCAGAGTGTTGATGCCCACACATGGCCTGCACTCTTACCAACCTCATTTTACTAAGGAAAAAAACAGGTGTCCAACTCCGAGTTTTTCAAACTGGGTTTGAAAACTCATCTTTGCTTTTGTGATCCTGGAAGGAAGGAGTCCCAGTCTTCAAATAGGGTTGGTATGTTTCCCTCACAGCTACTGGAAGAGCCTTGAGAACACTGTGTCACTTGAGAACACTGCATCACTGTATAAGGGAAGTGGTGTGTGGTCAGGAACTCAATTCTGACCTGTACTAAAGAAGCTCCAACTGTGAATGTCCCTCTGTTCTGTGGCTTTTCTCCTGCTGCTCCGTTACAGACAGCAATGGAGGAAGTAACTGGCATTTCATTCTGGATAAGGACAGCACTTTGTAGTGGTCTTGGGTGTGTAGGTCCATGCTGGCACTTTGGCCTTTGTCTGTGTCTGATGAGAGGGGATGGGTCACTGTGGATGCTGTTTGAGGGGAGTGTGCTTTCCAGCTCCCTGGGTTGTTGTGGCCAAGGTGGCACCAGGCCTGTGCTCTTCTAGGTGTCGTCAACAGGTAGTCATATTTACAGAAGAGAAGTGGATAAAGGAAGATGAGGAATGGAAGCAGTTGCCTCTGGGTAGAGAACCCAAGACCTCATATATGTGCTGCAGGGCAGCATGAGGTTGAAGTCTGGGAGGACCCCAGAGCTTGGCATGAGGCGGCCCTGGCTTCACCTACCATAGGGTTTATCAGAGAGCCAAGAGCATGGAAAAGCTAGCCCAGGGGCATCAGAATAGGGAGGGTGTGCAAGTGCCATCTCAGGCACACATGCTTACTGTTGCTAGAGCAGACAGGTCCTGGGGGGACCTGTGTCTATGGTTAGAAAGGGCCATGGTGCTGAGGACCAGGGGTGTGCTCAAGTCCCAACCCACTCTCTTCCCTTCTCAGGGTAAACCTCTGCAGCCAGTTTGAAATTTGAAAGTTCCCCAGGCTTTGCTTAGCCGAAGGCACCCTAACAGACTGCCTTCTCCACTTGGCATCAGAGATGACACGCACTTCAATATTAATTCCGTAACAGAAAGACTAGTCTGAGCGTGGTGGTGTGTGCTTGTAATCAGTTTGAGGCTGGTGTTGTTTTTGTTTTGTTTTTTTAAATGCATTTATTATGTGTTCTGTGTTCTTTGCTGCCTGCAGGCCAGAGGAGGTCACCAGATCTCATTACTGATGGTTGTGAGCCATCATGTGGTTGCTGGGAATTGAACTCAGGACCTTTGGAAGAACAAGCAGTGCTCTTAACCACTGAGCCACCTCTCCAGCCCTTGAGGCTGGTGTTTTAAAGGCCAGCCTGGGCTACATAGTGGGATCCAGAACTGCCTAGAATGGACTGGGGGTGGGAGTAGTATATGGGTGGGAAGAATGGGTTATTAGTTTCTAGTTTATACTGACTAATGCCATCTTGTGGCAAATGTGCTAAAACTATTGTATTTGCAGCATCAAGAACACGGTATTACTGAGCGCCATGCGTGGTTGTAGAGATAAAACATCAGTTCAGCCATCACTGCAGGAGTGGTTACCATTTAGCTGTCAGTTTTTTCTTTGCTCCAAGTCCCCACCTCCATGCCTAGTCAAGCTAGTGAGAGGGTGAGCCTCTAACGAATCTTGAGAATACATCCACGGATGGAAAAGTAGCTCCAGCTGGCTGCTTTGGCCAGGAAATGGAAGAAGGTGTGTTGACTGCTCAGTAGCTTGGCCCTCCATTTGCTCAGAGTGACCAATCTCAGTGAAGATTTCGATGTTCATCCAGGTCCCACCCCTGGAAGACCCAGAAAGGCCTCTGGGCTCCATCCCTTGGAGCTTCTCCGTTTCTCGGGAGTTCTTTCACATCTGAATTCCCTTATTTTCTTGGGTGTGAAACAATGAACTCGGAACCCACTGACTCAGATGGCTTTGTTACCATTGGTCATAAACACCTTAGCTCTCCAGTCTATCATTCTTAAAGAGCCCCACTGAGGCTGCTCTGGGGGTGCACTGGGCAGATCCATGTCTGTTCTAAGCTATACTTTTAGGGTGAATGAAGGCGTGGCTCATGAGTAGGGCATGCTGTTGTGACTTTACCCACTGAGCCATCTCTCTCTAGTTATCTTAACCCTGCTCCTTGCTCACCTGCTCCATCTCAAATCTGTTACCTCCTCAGACTGGGGATTTTGACTTGTGGCTTGATTTTTATTTCTAGCCTGTGAGTTTTCTAGTTGATTGGCTCTGTCTTCTCTGACCTTCTGGCTCCTTCCAGTGCTGGGATTTCTCTCTTCATAAAAATAGGACAATGACTTCCTAACTGACTCCTTACATCACAGCTCCAGGCCCAAGTTTGACCAGGAAGAAGCCTCTGGCCGGATTTCTCACAGCTCTTCCCACTGTGAGCAACCTGACAGTTCACTTTAGCTCTTCTCGATTTGAACAAAGTAAACCCCACCTGGTTTATAAATAGAACCCACTTTATAAATACCTCCTAATGTCTACATGGGTCACTAGTTTGACCCCCTAGACTCTAGGGCCTAGAGGGTCTTCCCAACTGCCAGCCCTTTCTATCACCTCCAGTCAGTCCCATCCCCTAGTGGAAGTTAAGGCTTCCTCTCTGGAGCCGTAGGCACTAAGGGTGGGGCTCATGGTGGGTTGGAAATTTAAGTCAGTGACAAATGGAACACTCCCCTTGAATGGGCAAGCAACTCTCCAGCTGGATTAAGGGAGCATAAGACAAGTGGTTTCCTTAGTAGGTTGGTCCACTGTGTGTTTAAAAATGATCAGTCCTGAGCCAGCAAGATGGCTCAGTTGGTAAAGGTGCTTGTTGTCAAAGCTGAGTTTGATCCCTGGCCCCCACATGACAAAAAGAACTAACTTCCACAAATTGTCCTCTAACCTCTGCATGCATGCCATGGCATACTCACACATACACACAAAATAAATAAATGCATAAATCAAGGTAATTTTAATGACTTCAGTCTCCTTCCAATCCCCACCATGGGGTCTGTAAAATATCAATGGCTCTGAATGGCAAGTACCCAACACTCAAACCACAGATCCACATACGCTGACCCCGAGTGTGGCAGAGGGGAGTGTACTCAGCAGACCCTCCTGGCCTCACTTGGCTTGTCTGCCTTGAGCTGAATCTGAATTTTGTTAAGCAGCTGACTGCCTACCTAGCCTTTAGGTGGTAACTGATATTTATACTTAAAAGTTTAAAACTTGCTAACTTCTGTGATAAGTGTAATGGAAATTACTGCCGTTATTGACCGCCACCAGATGCCAACCCATTAGCCTTTTCACCCCTTCCTGTCTTAGGTACAAGGAAGGCAGCTCAGAGGGGTGAAGGGCTTTGACACCAAGCATTAACCAAACACCCATTGTGCCTGCATATGCATGAAAGTGGTACTGAAGTTGTTAGGGTCAGAGTAAGGTGCTGGCAGCCCCAACAACTTAGGCTGTGCACCCCACCAGCAATAGGACAATTAGAAAAACCAAAAGGACATATATTCCACATGGCCACTTTGGGAACAGAAGCCAAAAGAGCCAGTGACCCCTCCTCCATCCCAGTCCATCTTCAGACACGCCTAGCTCAGCAGTCCTGGTCAAGGTGTCTCACTCTGTCTCCCCGCTAGTCTTTCCTCCAAGGTGGCCTCGAAGGAAATCTTTCAGGAGGACAACTTTCCCAGCCCAGGCTTCAGCCTTCTCCTTCTCTCAGAGGGAGATTCCTGAGGAAACCTGCAGTTTCTTGGGGCCCATTGTCTCAATAATCTGATAGTTTTGGGGGGACCTTATGGGTCAGGAAAACCTCAGAGGCTCCCAAACAATGCAAGCTCTTTGTTGCCCACCTGCATTAATAGTAAGATACTGTTGTGAAGTCACCAACCACATGGTTACAGAACACAGGGATCAGCTGGAGCTGAGCTGGAAGCTTCCTCCCTCCCGCACCAAAAGGTGCAACTGAGGAAGATTCCAGGGGAAGTGTGTCCATCTCCAGTGGAGTTCCCACTGGTGAGTTAGCATGCTCCAATAAATAACCTGCCACCCACACTCCTACAACAGTCCCAACTAAATTGAATGGGACACACGAGAAAGACATGGACATTGGAGGGACGTTTCTTGGGATGAAAAGGACCTTCAAGGAAGAAGAGACGGTGAGAGGGCAACGGAGGTGTCGATGACTAAACACCATGCACGTGTGGTGGTGTGAGTGAGAACAGCCCTCATAGCCACATGCAGTCCCCAGTTGGTGGAACTGTTTAGGAATGATTAGGACATATGGCCTTGCTGGAGGAAGTGTGTCATTGGGGGAGGGCTTTGAGGTTTCAAAAGCTCATGCCAGGCCCCATTTGTCATCGCATCCCATGCACACCCCTT